TCCCCCCATCTTCTCGCTTCTCCTCCCCGATTTCCCTATGTGGTTTCTGAGGCACATTTGGGGGATATCCCGGGGTTTTCTCAGGCCACAGGTAGAAAGCTAAGCTTCTTCCTTGGTGAGAAAAACTATCGTTTAACTAAGACTTGTGTCGTGTTATCCCTAAGCTCCACAAGACCTTGCAGCTGGGGCGATTTCTGTAGGGCCAGGTTGCTACTTCCTCACTGCTCTTAGTGGCAGACCTTCAGCAGGGCACAGTATACTAAGATGGGCTTAGGACTGATGACCTGTGCCTGAGCCCTGGCTCCATAGCTGGGAGACTTGGAACTGCGTCTAGTTCTTCTGGCCTCCCGTTTCTCAGCCGCAGAACCTAGACAGGATTTCTTGCCCTCGGTGTATGAGGAAGCAGGTTGGGGTTCAGAACCTAGTTGGGGTTCTGTAGGTGGCATATACATTTATTAATGATCTGAGTTAGTAAAGAAGAACTCTTGCAGTTAGACTAAGGAGGATAGAGAAAGTTCTTGACAGAAAGACAGCAGTGAGAACCATAGTAGCTTCAATTGCTTGAGATTAGATTCTGGACCCACGATCTCTTCCCACCGAGTCCAGAGAGGAGGTTATCACCCTGGCTGTTGTCTCTGAAATGTGGCATCTGTATGATGTTGGAGAGGGGAGATGATGTCTGAGTTCCCTAGTCAGCCAGGCCCAGCCCAGTGGGCTGAGAACCTTTACTTTCTTTGCCCCTAAGATCCCCCAGAACCCTGGATCTGCCAGAGAGCCACCTACGTTAGAAGGGAAGGGAGCCCTGCCTTGGGATTTGGTGGGTTCCCCGCTGCAGGGAAGGCTGTCAGTAGTTTGGGGTTCATCCATCCCAGGTAGCTTGTGATGGTATATATTACAGTTTGGTGTTACTTTATGGTTATGGGTGTGTGTAGATAACTCTGAATGGGAAGATCTCAATCTAGGACCCGAGTGCTAGTCCCACCTGTATCAATAACTGGTTATTTGGGCAGAGGCCATGCTTTCGTCTTGTAGTAAGGTAATTTAGTGGTAAAAGCTTCCAAGACCTCAGTCAGCTCTGAGTCCCCTGTTCTGTCTCCCCCACCCCTTCACCTTGCTTAGGTGAAAGCTATGGGGAAATTGATGTGGTGATTCCATCTTGTGTACAGTTAACTTCATGGAGTTCTGCTCTTACGTTTGACATTGCAGGAGAACCTTTACAGTATTGTTTAATTCATGTAACAGTCCTGGTATATGCCTGTGTATCTCTATGTGTTTATTATTATTTTAAGAGGACATTTATTTATGTATTTATTTATTTGTGCCGGTCCTGGGGTTTGAACTCATGACCTCAGTGTTGTCGCTGAGATTTTGTGCCCAAGGCTAGCATTCTACCACGTTGAGCCATAGCTCCATTTCCAGCTTTTTGGTGGTTAACTGGAGATAAGAATCGCATGAGTCTCACAGACTTTTCTTGCCCAGGCTGACTTCAAATTGTGCTGCTCTGATTACAGCTACCTGAGTAGTGAGGATTCCAGGTGTGAGCCAGTAGCACCCTGCTAAGAGAGGGTATTCACTTATTTTAACAGGGTAAATCAAATTTATTTTATTGGAAGAGGAGACACTTTTTTTTTTTTTAAAGGAGGGGACTTCTCTGTTGTTGTAAAAGTCAGGTAGTAAAATTCTGTCAGTGGTATTAAATCCATGAGTAGGTAAAAATATCAGACAGGTGTGGTACTTGATTGATCTCTCAGAGCCAGGGAATGTGTTAGAGTAGCTGTGGGTGACCCAAGGCTTCTCTTTCTCCCAGTCCATTGCTTTTTTTTTTTCCCCACAGAAAGTAGACGAGATTGTTTGTTCAAAGCCCACAGGTGATCAGCTTGGAAGGAGGCGATCCCTGTACAAATTCTGGAGAGGTTTCAAAACTGAGCTCATGATGGGGGAGAGTCCTCATGATGGCTGCCCTGTCACGCTTGAGGACACAGCCATTTCCAGTTTCCACACACTTCTGTAATCCACCCATGATGTAGCCTCCTCCCATTTCCTTCACAGCTGGGCTTGCTGGAGTCCTGTCCTGTGGATGATTGTGTGTGTGTGTGTGTGTGTGTGTGTGTGTGTGTGGTGTACACATGTGTACCTGGGCTCTCTCCCTCAGTGTGGGTATTCGGATGACCTCTGAAGAACAGCTTTTTACCCAGCCTGCCTGAGAGGAAGTCAGTTCCTGTTTTCTAGTGAGGATAACAGAGGTTTGGGCAATGGAATTCTGAGGAGCGTGCTGATGCTAGACCATGCTTGTCTCATTGTAGATCCACCAACAGGTGGATCCAGTTTGCAGGTCTCTGTGAAAGGTATTCATTTGATTGGAGTTGGTTTGATTTTGGTTAGATATGTCCGGAAATGTGATGTAAATTAAATCCTGACACGTGCAGTGCAGGGGAAATGACAGATCCTGGTCCAGTGAACACAAGAACTGTATTAGAAGACTGCAGTTCAGCTCATCGAACAAGTACTGGAGAACCTGCCATAAGCCAGGGGCTGGCTCAGAACAGCACAGGGATAGGGGTGTAGGGGGGAAGGGGAGAGGGGGCGGCAGATGTTGGGGTGGGCAGCTCTGCTGGGGACAGCCATTCATGATACACTTCTCTCACAGTCCGGTCCTGATGATCATGTGGAGAAGGCTAGGGGTAGTCTGCAGAGAAAAAAATGCCTTGTGCAGACAGACAGACAGACAAGTCTGACAGATACAGATACATAAGGCAACTCCGAACCCTCGGAAGTTTAGAGTCAATGAAGAGAGATTGCTAAATACAGGGATAAGTAATGGTTGCAATGGTTCTTATAGAAGGTCTATATAAAGCACAGGGGATTTAGGAGGTTTTGAATTTTGTAAGGGGAAGGTATGGATCAGGTGAGGGCTACAGGACTGAGCTGAATTTATTATTATTATTATTATATTCAGTTAGTTGGTCCTGGGCCTTGAACTCTGGGCCAGGCGCTGTCCCCGAGCCTCTTTGTGCTCAAGTCTAGTGCTCTACCACTACAGTGCCATTTCTGACTTTTTCTGATTAGTTTATTGGAGTTAAAAGAGTCTCACAGACTTTCCTGCCTGGGCTGGCTGTGAACCATGATCCACAGATCTCAGCCTGCTGAGTAGCTAGGATTACAGGCATGAGCTACTGGTGCCCGGCTGAATTTTTATTTTATTTTATTATTTTATTTATTAGCTTCAAAAATGATTTTTAAGTTGTGGTCCCAAGGGGTTTCAACTCATGTCGATTGATGAATACAGTGCATCTTGATCTGTGTCACCCCTTTCCTCATCCCCTGCTCCCCCATATCTGAGCTGAATTTTTAAAGACTAAGTAAAAAATTGCCAGTTGGACAAATGCCTTTCAGGCTGAAGGCCTTGTATGACAGTGGTGACCTAGAATGAATGATAGTGTAGGAAGTGGGAGGAATTTCAGTGGAAGGAAAGTGGGTGGGGCTGGAGTGTATGTGTGTGTGTGTGGGGGGGCGGGGGGCTTGTGACTGTCAGGCTTTGGGTTTTAATCCTAGAAGGGGAGCTGTCATTAAATCACTTCAGGGAGCAGAGGGACACAAATCAGGAGATGATTGTGGAGACAAGTGGGAGAATGAGATGCTGGAGACTTCCCACCCATGGTGGCTCCCGGTAACTCCTGGCTCTGAGATTTGTGGGGATGGCCCTAGGGGAGGTGACAGGGCCCTCATGGCTCCCCTGTTTGTGGAGTTGTGAGAGCAATGTATCTTGGGTTTAGGTGGCCACAGGCCATTGAATTGTGGCAAAAGCATTTCTCTTCCCATTCTCCTCCCCCCGCCCCCCCCCCCCCCCCCCCCCCCAGCCAATTCTCTCTGCTTTGAAATCTCCATGGCAGCCGGCATCTGGGGAGAGCCATCAGGAAGAATGTAGGAACAGTGGAGGTCCTGTTGCTGGGTGGGAACAGAATTATTTCCTGTATGTAGTTGGGTTTGTGTGTGTGTGTGTGTGTGTGTGTGTGTGTGTGTGTGTGTGTGTGTGTGTGTGTGATTTTTGTGGAGGAAGGTGTGAGTGAGGTTGAGAAAACTTCTGTCCTCAGAGGTTGCTGGGGCCTTGGTGTGAGGTTCCTTATGAACTTGAGCTGTCTTACAGGGAGAAAACAGCACTGTTTCCTTTGTAATTGCTGCCGGCGGGGTGGGGGTGGGGGGTTAGTCAAAAGAATGGGGAAATCTTAAGTTCGGAAGCTCTTGCTGTGGAGGAAGTGTGTTTGGAGCTGGTGTAGAGTTGGGCAGGGAGGGGCCGTGTCCCATAGATGGCTTAGAGTCTGCCCGTCTTCCTATTTTAGGTATGCCGCTTGGGCTAAGTTGGTAAACCACCCCTAAACGTTAGATTTCTCAACTAAAGTGAGTTAGTGTGTGGGGAGAGATTGGTAAAGAAATAAACCACCACCACCGCCGCCACCAGCAACGACTACATGATATTTGAGTTGAGGCATGTAGTTCCATGGCGGAGTGTGTGCCTAAAATGTGCAAGACCCTGGGTTCAGTCCCCAGCTCTGCAAAAACTTAGAGCAGAATAACAACAACAACAAAAAGCAAACAACAAAACTCATTAACATTTATTGAGCATTTATGGTATTGAGCATTTATGGTATGCTAGGCCCTGCACATTTCGTCCTTACATAGCTCTTAAGAAGAAGGTAGTATATTATCAGTGTTTAGCAGCTAAGGAAACCCAGACCCACGGAGGTTAGGAACTTGCTTGATTCTATTTTTTTTTTTTTTCTCCTTCCTCAATGTTTGCACAGAGTTCAGTAGGTGGTCAAGCTTGGCTTTTGATATCAGACAATGCAACAGCAGAGGTCGATATTGTCTTAGAGTTGCTCATGACTTTTCAAGGAAACTATATACAGAAAGCCCAGGGTAGCTCTTGGGGCTTAGAGGATCATCACTTAAGGTGGCTGCTAATTGTGTTTTGAATTCTCTCCCCGCTCCTTTGTCTCTTACAGAAGCAGCTGACGCAGGACGATGACGCAGATGAGGTGGAGATTGCCATTGACAACACGGCTTTCATGGATGAGTTCTTCTCTGAGGTGGGCAGCCTTCCTTGATTGTTTTCTGAAGGAACACGAGGAAACACAGCTTCCTGAGTAAGAGCAGAAAACCTCAGATCTTTCCGAGGAAGGACAGACACAGTTTTTACTGGGCTGTCATAAACCGCTACAGGGAAATTCTCTTTTTATTTATTTCTTGGGAGGATTTGAACTTTTATCTGATTAAAGTAGAACATAAATTAGAAGTACCTGAAGATATATATTGATTCATTCACGCATTCATTTTGGTACTGGGCTCTCTGCCACTGAGCCACACCTCTACTTCCAGCTTTTTGCTAGGTCATAGGAGAGAAGATTGTCATGGACATTTCTGGTCCAAGTGGCTTCAATCTGGATCCTTGGTCTCCTGAGTAGCTAGGATTATAGGTGTGGTCCCAGAGAAGATATACTTTTAAAGTCTTAGGCTAACATTTTAATGAATTTTTTTTTTCCCTTAAAGGACATAGTTTAAATGTAGCATCAATCCAGTGTCACAGCCAGGAGTAAAAATCCAAAAAACCAAAACAACAAAAACCCTATTCCATCTTTAGACTTGTGATTCAGATAAATCAAATTTACTGCTTCAAAGCATTTCATGGTCCCTTTGACACTGTAGTGGTAACAGAAATGCAGATGAAACCAGCTTATTTCTGTGACATTCAACAGGGACAAAAATAGGTTGCCCAGATGTGCAAATATACCTGTTCTTTGATCTTGAAGGCCCTTGTAGGGATCGTGTTGTGGTGGATAGTGAGGAGTTGAGAGCTAAGCAGAAGTTGATCAAGGAGAAAAGTACTGGCTTTGGCACCAGGTAAACTTGGCTTTGTGACTGTTCCTTAATGTGCTATTATATAGGGTGAGATCATGCCCATAAAACACACACAGGAGGGTCAGGTATGTATGCACTGGAGGAGTTGTATTTATAACACACATACATGTTGTCATTGAAGCATTGAAGTTTTTGACATTGTCCTGTGGTTTCTTTAGTTGTTTTTGTTGGTTGTGGGGCTTGAACTCTCATCCTGGGCACTATCCCTCAGCTCTTTAGCTCAAGGCAAGTGCTCTACTACTTGAGCCACAGCGCCACTTCTGGTTTTCTGGTGGTTAATTGGAGATAAAGAGTCTTTCCTGGGCTGGCTTTGAATTGCGATCCTCAGCTCTCAGCCTCCTGAGTAGTTAGAATTACAGGCATGAGCCACTGGCACCCGGCTCTTTAGTTTGTATTTCCCCTAGGTGGGCAATAGAAGGCATTGTATTCTTTCTGCAGGGAGACTCAGGCACTTCCTATCTCTTGGGGTTGTGGATGTGGAAAAGTAAGTTCACAGGTATCCTCCACATGGAGTCGGCGGGGCCCATTATCTGCCAGGATAATAAATAAGTGGGTTGAAGAATAGCCCTGAGTATGTGGAGGCCTGACAGAGAGGTTAGCTATATGAGCAGAGGCCTCTTGTAGGTGGGCCTTGTCTTTTTGGAGAAAGAGAGAGAGTGAGATCGAACAATACTTGGGCTGTTCTCCTTGTGGACCAGGGAAGGACAATGTCCTCTATTGAGCGGACTCAAGGAGATGTTTGAAGACATTGTGGCTTGTTCTGCAGTCTTGCCCTGGGCAACCACAGAGACTAAAGAATACCTTCTCTAATGAAAGGAACCTTCTCCAATGACCGGTTCCCCCATCCAGCAGCAGGATGGTTGAGAGGAGCTGGGGAGCCGGTGAGCTTCGGCCTGTGGGACCCTGGCTCGTGTCCATCCTCAAGTATTTCATAGCGCTGTGACCTTGGTCTCACGGAGCTTTCACTTCCTTCTGGAAACTGGGAAAGGTAGTCTTTACATTTCTGGGCTGTTGAGAGGATTGGATGCTGAGCCTCACCCATCTGGCAAACATTGTGTGGACAGAAGAAAGATTGTCTGGGTAGAGGAAAGATTTTTTTTTTTTCTCAAGAAGCCCTTCAGAGGCCCTGTTCTGTTTCTAATCCCTTTATCTTTGTGAAAGGATTTTCGGTCTAGAAAATTCCCACAAAACCCTATCGTAGCTAGGGCAGAGAAGGAGACAACATGGTATGGAACTGTTACCCTCCTGATCCCAGTCTCCTGCTGTGGTAGCTGCCTTGACAGGCATGTGCCCTGTGCTCAGGTACTGGTTGAGAAGGGATGGATGGAGGTTTTTAAAAACATTTATTTTTATTTTTTGTTTTATTTGTAGAGGTTTGAACTCAGGGCTTTTTGTCTGCTAGGCTGGTGCAATGCTACTGAGTCACACTTCTAGCCCTTGTTTTTCACTGGTTATTTTAGGATAGGGTTTACTTTCTACTAAGAAATGCACCTGAACTACAATCCACCTGTTTAACGTTTCCTGTTATTGCTGGGATCACTGGCATGCCCCTCTGTGTCCAGCCTCCCTCCACCGGGGCAGTGTCTCAGCCTTCCCTGCCTGGGCTGGTCTGAGCCTGTGACCTCTCAGGCGCAGCCTTCCTTGGGGCTTTGGGATGATGGGCGTGGACCACTGGCCCAGCTATAGGAGCCTCATCATCTTTTGGCCCAAGTTGGCCTCAAAGCACAGTCCTCCTGTTTGTCGTCTCCCTCATAGTTAGGATTGTAGGTGTGAGCCACCATGTCCATCTTAGGATGATACTCTTGTGACAAAACTGGCTTTTTGGCCTGGCTCCTACAGGTAACCCTTTGTTATTTGCTACCTATAGATAGTGTGAATCACAGTTTGGTCATATAAGCCATTGCCAGAGGTAGATGGAATGATAGAACCAGTGTGTATTCAGAGTACAATTTACACTGCAAAATTCTAATGGCATCCCCAGCCTCCCATTACCACAGGAAAGAGCTGTCCTCCATGTTTTCAGTCCATTTTGACCAATCAAGAGCTTGGTAAATGATACACTCCAGATTTTCTTTATTTTTGAGTCTCATTTGGAGTTGTATATATCTCCCTTGATCATTTCCTTAGTTGGGAGAGAGAGAGAACAAAGTTTGAGGAAACGTCTCTGTGTTTGGATGTGGAAATCTTAAGGATATATCGCTCTGTATTCATTCAGTGAGCCAAATGTATAAGTGCTTACTGTTTTGATTCAAGCCAGGGTGTAGGTGCTGTGGATGCAGTGTTCTGGGTGATCAGGCCCTGGGCTCTATGATGGCTCTTCCCTGCTAAGAGAGATAGAGTTTTTAAATGATACAAAAACTTACCATATCATAGCAGAAATATCAACCTGGTACTATAGGAGCTTAGAAGAGGCAGCATCGCATTCTTCCTCAAGGAAGGCAGGGGTCTGGTTCTTTAATGGACTTGCACATCACACTCACTCATAGAGATACTGATGTGTAGAACCTGCCATGGCTCAGACTTGGATTTCTCAGTTCTTTCAGGTGATGGAGCTGGAGCGCATCATGTTCATGTTGAGTGCAAGGAAGCCAAACTCTCAAAATTGATAGTATACATTCTCACTCATTTGAGTAATATAGACTTCAAATGATGATCATAGAAATGGTAATGGGACAGAATTGTGAAAGGAAGACTATGTAGGAGAGGATTAGATGGTGAGGGTGAGGGGGAAGGAAGGGACTGAGGGGTAAAGAGGATCAAAGGACATTTCACACATACACAAACAAACATGTAAATGTTTGCATATGTTGTTGGGTCTTCGTCCTTCCCACGGAAGATGGACGCAGTCCTGGGTCCGAGGAAAGGTAAGTGCGGCACTCCCCGTTCCCCAGCCTCCCTCAGCCCAAGAGACAATCAGACACAGTGGGGAGCCAAATCCAGCAGGTAGAAAACTCCTTCATTAACAGAGAGCAGCCCTTTTTAAAGCCAAAAAGGGCGGGTGGCATGGCAAGGAAGGAAGAGGAGCCAATCACTGTCAAGGTCAGACCCTGTCATGCACCTAAGCCTTCACGGGCAGGTTAGGCACTGATCGGAAGATCAGTTGGGCTCTGCCCACTCTACTCTCTCCCAGCGCCATCTTTGCTGCCCATGTGCTCTACAGTAAATTGGGCTCTGCCCACCCAACCCCCTCTCAGCGCCATCTTTGCTGCCCATGTGCTCTACAATATGCATATAGGAACACAGCATAATGAGCCCCACCAAATGCTGCTTGTAAAAGGAGGGAAGAGAGCAATGGGAATGGGCTGGAGGGGCTGAATGTGTCGAAAGGGCACTGTTTCTACATAAATGGAAATTTCCCAATAAACCCTCCTCATATTCCAAACTCTAAAACAGTAATGAAAAAAATTCTAATGAAAGAAACAGGAAAGCAGCAGCAACAAGAAGTTCTTCTAGATGGTATTGCTGCCTTCTACAGTGATGAGCCACTGTGGAGCGTGGGGGAGAATCTCTGAGGATTTAAACAAGGAAATGATGGGTTCAGAGAGTATTTTAGAGAAGCTGACTATGGCAGTGCGTGAAGACATGCAGAGCCCCAAGAGGAAGACCAGCAGGTGCTGAGTTCTGCTGGCTCTGGGACCCTGATGGACAGTACAGTGTGTTGATGAGGATTGTTTCGCACAGGGAGTGTGGAGTTGGGGGTTGGTGCAGGGCGTCAGAGGTAACGGGGCTCCAAGGCCAGCCTCTGTGATGCCTCTGGTCTCTCCTCTTAGGATTGAGGTAGCCTGTTCTGATGACCAATTCTGACAAATCACCTCAACGTTTAGGGGGTGTAAAGCAACCTGGAAATGAGGAATTTGGATAAGGCAGAGTCGAGTTAGTCTATCTCTGTTCTCTAAGACCTTTGCTGGGAAGAGTTGAATAGCCAGAGGCTGGAATGTTAGAGAGTACTGTGTTCTAATGTCTGGACCTATTCTTGGCCTTTATTGATGATAGCTTGAGGTCCTTAACAGCATGGTCCACTGAGATCTTATTATTACACCAGAACTCAGGGGTGCAGGGCGAATGTTCCAGCTACTGTGTAAAACTTCTAACAAGGTAGTCTGCCAGATTCAAGAGAGAAGCACCTAGAACCCACGTCTCATTGGGAGGAATAGTAAAGAGTTTGCACATG